TTATGAGACTTGTGAGCACTATAACCGTTTCCAGTTGATGCCACCTGCTTGAAAACGTGGCAAAAATATTCTCAAACAGCAGAATATAATTTGTCCTCTGCAGTTTAATAATAGGAAATTCCTTTAAACTTCACTGAGCGTACAGAGTAACCTGCTCTCAAAGTCCAACAGAACCAATCATTAATAAATTTCCAGCCATGATACAAATAGAGCTGCTCCAGTGGACAACACAGCAAACATTAGGAATTCATGGACTATTGTTAGAGGCAGCATTGACCAACAGTGCATCATTACTGTAGCACAAGATGACACTGTTCAAATGGCAGTGCATTGCCATTTTCCTTAAGCAGACTTTTATAAGGAGAAACAGATTTATTTACAATGAAACATGAATAAAATCAGAAAATAATTATGAGCGAGTCAAATGAGTGCCACTGCTAATTACGCTTATGATTTGCGGCACTGCAACTCAGACTTTTATACCTATCCTGTGTAGCAATATTTGCTGCCCAAAGACCAAATTTGACACTTGTCTTGCAAACAAAGTGACAATTTCTGAGTAGGTTTAAGCGATAAATGACAAGACTTATTCAGAGAAGATGCAGATAACATACTACCAGGGTTTCTTAATATCATTTAAATCTCAGATTGACCATTAGAGCTATGCATATGTAGAACAACAAATAAGTCAGATATTTGCTGTAAGTGCTTTCGCGATTGTTAAGTAAGTAAGTTACAGAACATGCAAATATGGTGTTTGTTATTTCATAATTGGTATAAAGTATTGTGTACATAATGTCTCGGGAGAATTACAGACTTGGTTCAAACATGTCCTGTACATAAAAAGCAGGACAAAACCAACCTGGCCAATTACTGCCTCATCAGTATACTCTTGATCATCAGTAAAGTGATGGAAGGTCATCAACAGTGCTTTTAAGAGGCACTTGCTCAGCGACATCCAGTTGGGGTTCCGTCAGAGGCACTCAGCTCCTGACCTCATTACAGCCTTGTTCCAAACATGGACAAAAGAGCTGGATTCCAGAAGTGAGCTGAAAGTTGACCCTTGGCATCAAGATCGCATTCGACTGAGGATGGCATCAAGGAGCCCTAGCAAAACTAGAGTCAATTGGTATCGGGGGCAAACCTTCCACTGGTTGGAGAGATACCCAGCACATAAGATGGTTGGCATTGTTGGAGATCAGTCATCTCAGCTCCAGGACATCTCTGCAAGAGTTTGTCAGGGTGGTGTCCTAGACCCAACCACCTTCAGCTGCTTCAACAATGACCTTCCCTCCATCATAAGATGTGGGGATGTTCGTTGATGATTGCACAATGTTCAGCACCATTGATAACTCCTCAGATACTGAAGCAGTCCATGCTCAAATATAACAAGAATTAGGCAAGTTTGGGCTGACAAGTGGAAAGTAATATTCACGCCACGAATGACAGACAAAGACCATCTCCAAAAGGAGACAACCTAACCACCGTCCCTTAACATTCAATAGTGTTACCAACACTGAATCCCCCACTATCAACATCCTGAGGGTTACCACTGACCAGAAACTCAACTGGAATGGCCATATAAACACAGTGGCTACAAGAGCACGTCAAAGGCTAGGAACACTGCGGTGAGTAACTCACCTTCTGACTCCCCAAAGTCTGTCAACCTTCAAGGCACAAGTCAGGAGTGTGATGAATTACTCCCCATTTGGCTGGATGGGTACAACTCCAACAACACTCAAGAAGCTTGACACCATCCAGGACAAAGCAGCTCACTTAATTGGCATCGCATCCACAAGCATCCATTCCCTCCACCACCAATACTCAGTAGCAGCAGTGTGTACTATCTACAAGATGCACTGCAGAAATTCACCAAAGATGCTCAAACAGCACCTTCCCAGACCAGAATCACTTCCATCTAGAAGGACAAAGGCAGCAGATACATGGGAACACTATAACCTGCAAGTCCCTCTCCAAGCCACTCACCAGCTTGAGTTGGAAATATATGATTGCCGTTCCTTCACTGTTGCTGGGTCAAAATTCTGGAATCCCCTAATGGCTACGTGGGTCAGCACACAGCACATGGACTGCAGCAGACTTCTCAAGGACAATTAGGACAGGCACAAATGCTGGCCCAGCCAGCGACAACCATGTCCCATGAGAAAATGAAATAAAGTTTACAAACAAGTAACTGTTTTTGTTCTCACTATTATTATTTCACGTGCTCCCTCAACATCCACACAGGGGCTCTTCCAGCAGGGAGAGATGAGGAGCAGTACCTAATTAAACTTGCCCATTCCTTACGTTTGAGCTATTGCAGCAGGTCTCGTGCTCAATACAATTAGCTAACTCAGTGCAGACTGAGGTGAACCTGGGACATTTACTACTCTGTGCGGCTCAAATGTTCTCTGGATAAACTAGCTGAGTGAACAGGGAAGAGTAAATCCAAAGCCAAACATCATTAGGTATTTTCTTTTGAGTAGTAAAATTTCAAATCAGTAACTTGGCAATCTAGATCCTAACTTGAAAGTCTGGTTGAAGTAACTATTTTAACCACAGCTCCCTTTAACATTTGTTTGCTCGACACAGTTGGTCTTTAAAAGACTGATGTTTTTATGCAGATCTTAAAAGGGAATGATGCTAATGCACAAGTTGTTTGCCCCTTGAGCAGCATATTCCAGAATGCTGAGTGGCCACAAGCTCAAAGCTTTGAGAGAACAAATACACAGAATGCTAGAGAATCTCAGCAGGTCTGGCAGCATCCGTGGAGAGAGAAACAGAGTTAATGTTATGAGTCCAGTCTGACCCATGATTTGTAGAGGTGTAGCATCACTTCCTTGCTTTTATACTCTTATGCCTCTATTTAGAAACCCAAGGATCCTATAAGCCTTCTTAATAAGTGTTTCAACTTGTTTAGAAACCTCAAAGAATTATGCATGTGAACCCCGAGGTCCCCCTGCTCCTGTGTTCCCCTCAAAATTGTACCATTGAGCTTGTATTGTCTTTCCATGTTTCTTCTACCACAACACTGTATCTTATGTTTCTCTACATTGAAAGTCATCTGTCAGGCGTCTGCCCATTTGGCCAACTTGTCAACATCCTTCCAAAGTTGCTTAGCGTCATCCTCACCATTCATTATTCTCCCCAGCTTAGCGTCACCTGCATATTAGTATTAATACAAGATTGGTTGACTGACAGACAACAGTGCATATGGGTCTTTTTCTGATTGGTACAAGTGAAGATTGAAATCTTGCAGTGAATAATGCTGGGCCTCAGCTTTTTATGATTTACATCAATGACTTAAATGAGGGGAGCAAAGTCATGGTGGCTAAGTGCTCAGATGAGACAACGTTACGTAGGAAAGTACATTGTGAAGATGGCATAGGGAGGTTGCAGACTGACGCAGAACGACTGCAGAATTCTGAGCTGCTTTAGTACGGGAGGAACTGGACAACAGAAGCAAGGATATTATTTTTTGGTTATACATGTTGTACCTCCCTAATCCAGTACTTTATTTTGGCAATCACAGTATGGTTCTAGTTCTAGTTTTCTGGAACAACCAGCAGTGCTCTGTGTCCTTTTCCCCAAAACAGATTTCTTGCAGTGCCAGTGTAAACCTTTCAAAAAGATTGTTTTGATCAACTCCCAAATGATTTTTATCTTTTACAAGCAGCAGCATAATTGGTCAATGTAAAATCGGTGTTTAAGTCACGAGATAGTTGTGCACAAGCCCGGTTTGCACTTGCATTTATCTTAGTGAAGTGCTTTTCCTTTTGTAACAGGAACAGGAATTGGAGAGACTCAGCAGGTCTGGCAGTAACTGTGGGAAGAAAGCAGAGTTACGTTTCAAGTCTGGTAACTCTTCACGTTTCAGATCTCCAGCATCTGCAGTTCTTTGTTTTATTTTGTTTTTTTTCTTGTGTGTTTGGAATAATTCGGATAGCACTTGTTAGACCCTTTCGTATAAACACGTACTTTGTAGCTCACAACTGGGTACGTAAGACAAAAAAAATTCAATGCTTCAACCTCACAGAGGAACAAATGCCTCCGGTGTAGTTGGTGCTTTATCCTTTTCCAGGTTCTAAATGGAGGGGTATTTATTGTTTCAACATATGATTTATGGCAAGAAAAATGAATTTACTCTAGTAAGAAAATACAGAATAATTGTGAGCAACATGTTGCATAGTGCTTTTTCAACATGCTTAAAACTCCTGTACTGACCTTAACACACAATCCTGCCAGTCTTGAGGCTTTTGGATTACAGAGGTACAACCTGTACCCTGTTCTCCATAAGGCATTCCCTTGGGATCACAAATGACTTCTTTTGGTTATACAGAACACTAGTGAGAGCATAACTGGAATACGGTGTACAGTTTGATTTCCTTATTTAAAGATGAATGCGAATGCCTTAGAGATGGCTTAGATGAGCTTAATTAGATTGAAATCTGGAACAGACAAGTTCTTGAGGAAAGGGTGGACACTTTGGGCTTGTTTCCGTGGAAATTTAGGAGAGTGACGGGTGACTTGTTTAACGTACAGAAGATCATGAAGGGTCTTGACAAGGTGGACATGGAAAAGATGTTTCATCTTGCGGACAAGTCATTGTTTAAAGTTTAGAGGTTGGCCTTCTAGAACAGAGATAAGGATAATTTTTTTCTATCAGGGAGTTGCATGGCTTTGGAACTGTGCCTCAGAAAGCAGCGGAAGCAGGGCTGTTGAAAAATTTTAATGAGGAGGGAGATTGACTCCCTTTCATGACAAGAATCTAAGCTTACTGGAGATAGACGGGAAAGTGGAACTCAAGATACAAGCAGGACAGCCATGGTCTCACTGAATGGCGAAGCAGGCTGGAGGGGCAAAATAGGCTACTTCTGCTCCTAATGTGTATGTTTGTATAACTGTTGTCAGGTTGATTCTAAGAAAACTGACTGCAGCTAAAGGAGGAATAATGGTTTGTTGTTGTTATAGCATGGAATTTGACTTGCAAATAGAAACAGCACCTGGACAGGTACACCGGAAGGATTTCTTCCCCAGTTTTCTTACTGCAGAAGATTCGGCACAGTGTTCCACAGGCCTCAGCTCTCCCTGCTTCATAGTTATCTGGAAATTCATTGGCATCGAACAGCGGATTGGCAACCATATTTTCAGTGGATATCTGCGAGGGTTTCCGTCGGACATCCAGTCCTGCTGGAGTTGTAATGCCTAAGGTGAGGAAGAGTTTACGAGGGTTGCTGGTGAGAAGCAACCATCTTATTGTCACATTGCCAAACAGAACCAAATCATGCATTACATCAATAAACAAAAAAAAACCCAGAATAGTAAAAATTTTATAAACAGAACTTAATAGAACAAAAAAGATAATCATATCAAATATTTTAAAATGGTTAGTGCACAGTCTCAGAGGTTTATGACGTGACACAAAATAGCAGGAGAAATGAGCACGATGGGATATAAACAAGCACCTGCAGAGAGCAGATTACAAGGCTTGGCAACACTCCTCCCCCATTCAAGAGAAACACAGAATGGTGAATGAAGTTATCGCCCCCAAACAGTGCAACAATGACAGGAGGCAGATGTTAGAGAAAAACAGCTGGAGCGATTATAAGGTAAAGGAATGGCTTATGGCAAAAATCATAAAACAGCTGACTGCAATTAAAATAGAATCTACTTTTCCTACTTACAAGATTTATAAGAAAGAAGAATTTGGATAAAAGATGCTGCAAGATAATAGAAATAAAAATGGAAACAAATCAAAGGAGAGCAGTAGTTATAATATCTTTAAGATGATTAGTTTTTTTAGCTTCAGTTATAAGCAGCTTTCTTCTGTTTGTTTTAAAAATTAAAATACAAAGTTTTGAGGGAAAGACTGGGCACTACATATATAAAGACTGGCAACCAGGTAAAAGCCATGAATTTGACAATTAACATGCAAAAAAATGCAAAAAGAAATTAAAAAATCAGGGAAACACTGATGCTAAATTAGATTAGGGTTTAATAAATCTGGACTGTAAACTAAATTAAGAGTACACAAATTGCAGATGACTTTTTAGTTAGATTTTGTCCTGTATCTTTGTAGATAGAAGGCAAGAATGAAATGAAAAGGATTTTGACGCCTTACCTGTCATACTGCCATCTCTGTTCATTCCATTGTGCAGTCTGCAGTGAACTAATCCTGCATCGAACAACCACTGACCAAACAGATTCAGCACGCTGTTGACCTTGGGACGAGTAGGTGCAGGTAGAGGTCTTGGCTCTGAGCTGGTCTGGTTTGGGCTGGACAGTGGAGAAGTGGTGGATGTCTGATGAGTAACTTTTGGAGGATGTGCAGTGCTCCCCTAGAGGATCAATAAGAAATATGTACATAAACATTAGTCAACAAAAGCACCCAGCAATACAGGAAACAAAACTAAAATAGAAAGGGACACCATTATCTGTGAATCCGATGAAGGATGATGACAAGAATCTTAGGTAAGGATTCAAATAATTGTTCTAAAAATTTATTTTTCATTCAGATTTTAGAAGGCCAGCAATTTGACCCATCCCTCTCCATGCCAGTAAATTCTTACAACTTTCCTAATCACAGGCTTTCCAATGCCCTAAAACCCAATTTCATCAACATCTCATTTTCCAAATCCCTTAATGTAGATTTAAAAAAAAATTCAATTGAATTTTCTGCACTGTTTTTATATGTTTTTTACATTTCTCCTCATTAGTTTCTTTGCTGCTTTTTCTCTTTCCCTATTTCCACACCACTTTTGCTTATTACATTTTTTTGACCTATTCTCATTTTTCAAATCTCTTGACTCCTCTTGAGCCAATGTTTGCTACTTTCTGTATATAGTTGCCAAAACAGGCAGGCTTGCAGCACATATGCTTTTTGTGGAAGCCTCACAGTGAAGAGATGACCCTTTAGAACTGAGATGTTGTTTAGGATCTGACCAGCTCAATCAGTAGTACTGCTTTGAATCACTCTTGGTGATGGACATTGAAATCCCCCACCCAGAGTACATTCCGTGCCCTTGCCACCTTCAGTTCCTCCTTCAAGTGTTGCTCAACATGGACGAGTATCAATTCATCAGCTCAGGGAGGACGGTACGTGGTAATCATCAGGAGGTTTTCTTGCTCATGTTTAACCTGAAGCCACAAAATTTCAGGGGGCCCAGAATCAACGTTAAGGACTCCCAGGGCAATTCCCTCCTGACTGTATCTCACTGTGCTGCTACCTCTGCTGGGTCTGTCCTGTTGGTGGTGATGGTGGTGCCTGGACATTGTAAGGTACAATTTCATGAATATCTCTAGGCCAGGCTGTTGCTTGACTAGTCTGTGAGACAGCTCGCCCAATTTTGGCACTAACCCCCAGATGTTAATAAAAAAAGACTTTGCACGGTCAACAGGACTGTTTCTGTTGTTAGCTTTTCCAGTGCCTAGGTTGATGCCAGGTACTCTGTCCAGTTTCATTTCTTTCTTGAGGCTTAGTAGCGATTGATACAAGTGAGTGGCTTGCCAGGCCATTTCAGGGAGAAGTTGACAGTCAACCACATTTCTGTGGGTCTGGAGTCACATGTTGGCCAGACCAGATGAGGATGGCAGATTTTCTTCCCAGAAGGACATTAATGAACAACATGGGTTTTTCCTGACAATTGTTTCATGATCATCACTACATTCTTAATTCCAGATTTCTTTTTATTGAATTCAAATTCCATCACCTGCCATGGCCGGATGTGAACCCAGATCCCCACACCATTGGCTGAGTTTCTGGATTAATAGTCTCGCAACTGTCTACGTGATCCCCATCCCTTGTACAAGCTCCTTGTGGTACAAACTATCGGAAGAGTCTAGCTCTGATAACCTGTAACCTTTCAAAGGGTCTGATAGTAGTATCTACTAATTTCAGAATTGAATAAATTAGACAGATGGCTTCCAGTTGGCCCACCTCAATCCCAAAATAAATAAAATAATCCTAAACTATTTATCCCCATCTCCCTGCCTTTTTCCAAACTCTTATTCTTTATCAAGGACATGATTCTCTTTCACATGTATGGCTTTGCCTTAATAAATAAATCTGCAGAATTTTACATTGAAATAACCCTGAATAGAAAATAGGTTCTAACTTTCTTCTGATGATACCTTTCTTCGTGTTTCTGTCCAATCCGTCATTCATGTGTCATCAGAGTCAATTGTGTTTTCTCTCTATTCACCATCTTAAAACTAAAACCTTAAAATTCATTAGTTTGAAAATCTTGAATTGATTAATCATTAAATTTCTTCTTCCTAGTGATGAGGGCATAGTAATGTATGAATTATAAGCACTCCTTCCCAGTATAAAGCTTACGATTCTTTATCACATCCTTCATGGCTTGAAGATGTCTCTAGTGCTGAGGTGACCTGTTGACTAATGAACATCCTTTCCTTGCTCCAATTTTAAAACCCAGAATGCATTTTGCCTTTTACATGGCCCTGACCACCTGGACTCCAAGACCACGCCTAGAATATATGATTAGTTCTCATCCCTTTGCCAAGGAAAATTGACTGGAAGCAAAAACAGAAAATGCTGGAAAATATCAGCTGGTCTGGCAGCATCTGTGGAGAGAAATCAGAGTTAACGTTTCAGGTCAAATGACCCTTCCTCAGAAAATGTACTGGCATTGGAGGCAGTCCAGAGAAGGTTCACTGGATTGATTCTGTGTATGGAGGGATTCTCTTATGAGAGGAGGTTGAGTAAGTAGGACTTGTATTCACTGTAGCTTAAAAGAATGATAGGAAGCCTTTTTACAAGATGCAAGATTCTTTGGGGAATTGACAGGATAGATGTAGAAAGGTTTGCTCCTCCTGAAGTCTAGGACCAGAGGGCATAATCACAAAAACAGGGTTGCTCAGTTAGGATAGAGATGAGGAGGCATTTTTTCTCTCATAGGGAAGTGAATCTGTGGAATTCTTTACTACAGTGGGGTGCAGAGGTTGTGTTATTAAAATATCTGAGGCAGTAAAGGGAAAGGCAGGAAAATGGAGTTTAGGATTATAACATCAGGTCTGGTCAGACAACCACAATCACAATCACATTGAATGGCACAGCAGTCTCATGGTCCAAGTGGTCTTCTTATGCTTCTACATCTTATGGTCTATAATCTTGAAACAAATAAGCATCTCTTCTGCTAAGGTAAGAGTCAGTATGTAAAGCCTACTTCCTTTCACTTTCTTTATGTCAAAGGTATGGTGTCACATTTCTGTATATAAAACTCTATCATCTATCTTCTCATTCCATCTTGCGATCTCCTGCAATCTTTTTTCACTGAGAATCAGCAAACAACATTATTATGCTTTGTTTATTCACATTCAATCATTTCCATAAAAATAAAATCAGTTCCACATCAGATCCCTAAAATACAGCAAACTCCTACCAAGTTGGACAACAATCTGTTATTCCTAAACTTTGCTTCTGGTTCCTTGCTAGTCTGCTGGATTAGGATGAGAAAACGTTGAAATTTCAGGAGACATATATACACAATGGAAACCATCAGCACAAATTTCTTCAAGATTGCAGTCTGTATCAGCAAATTAGGTACTTGCCTAGTATAGAGCAGGCAGAGGTATGGGCACAATATCAAACTGAAAAAATGAACTGGGCACCAACTTACTGAACTTGTTTTAACGGTTGCCTTTGTAACAGTGACAGAGCGCATTCTCCTGCTGTGGGGGGGTGTTGTGTTCATAGTACTGCTTGCCTGTGGCATGTTTAGTCTATTGACTGGAGTAGGAGGAGCACTATCAGAACGAGGCCTGGAAATACCTGCAAGAGAAAACATACAGATGCAGACAGCACCAGCATCAACTCAAAGCTAATCATTAAACTCTTCAAAAGAAATCTGCCCACCAGTTTAGTAACAATTTGATGAGGAAACTTTTAGTACAGGACAGTTTGTAAAATACAGCAACAGTAAGAGCTGACTAAAATAGCTGGTTTCACTTATTTTCTTTGTTGATAAATTTATTTCAAAGCACTGTCCATGGCTACTGTGCAGAGCTATAAATCTCAATTAAGCAACAGCAGCACCATGAAGATTTGTTAAGGGAAGTAATTTATCATTTACTAACAGTTTTTGCGAATTTGGGACTTATAGTAAGTTCTATTCTGCCTGGAGAAATCTGATTCATCTCTCAAGTTAACTCTTATACTGAGATCTGAGGATGCAAAGGGCACCTGCCCCTAATTTGACAATACTGTTCTGTACACAACGATTAACATCTACTACATTCTCAGACTGAGTTACAGAGTGAATCCTAGGCAGGTTTTACACCTCTCTCCTCCAGAGAGATATTCAGGAGTTAAACTGTTGCTGCAGTGTCACTGTGAAGTAGAAATAATTTTGAAGCTATGTGAAAGCAGTTCCATATGCGCCACCACAAACTGCTAAATCACTGCTTTGTCATTGAAATTACAGAACTGTTTAAGGCAAATTGGTTGCAATACTTCCTGCTATACACCCGGCAGATAGTTTTATAGAACATAAACAGTACAGGCCCTTCGGCCCACAATGTTGTGCCGACTTATTATCCTACTAAGATCAAACTACCCTGCATAACCTACATTTTACTATCCTCCATGTGCCTATCCAAGAGTCGCATAAAAATCTCTGAAGTATCTGATTCCACTACCACTGCTGGCAGCGCATTCCACACGCCCACCACTCTCTGTGTAAAGAACCTACCTCTGACATCTCCCCTATACCTTCCTCCAATCACCTTAAAATTATGCTCCCTCGTAATAGTCATCTCCACCTTGGGAAAAAGTCTCTGGCTATCCACTCTATCTATGCCTCTCATCATCTTGTACACCTCTATCAAGTCACCTCTTGTCCTTCTTCGCTCCAATGAAAAAAGCCCTAGCTCTCTCAACCTTTCCTCATAAGACCTGCCCTCCAGTCCAGGCAGCATCCTGGTAAATCTCCTCTGCACCCTCTCTAAAGCTTCCACATCTTTCCTATAATGAGGTGACCAGAACTGAACACAATATTCCAAGTGTGGTCTAACCAGGGTATTATAGAGCTGCAGCATAACCTCGCGGCTCTTAAACTCAATTCCCCTGTCAATGAAAGGCAACATGCCTTCTTTACAACCCTATCAACTTGGGTAGCAGCTTTGAGGGATCTACGGACGTGGACCCCAAGATCCCCGTTCCTCCACAGTGCCGAGAATCCTGCCATTAACCCTGTATTCTGCATTCAAATTCGACCTTCCAAAATGAATCACTTCACACTTTTCTGGGTGGAATGGTGGCCATTACAGAGACTTGGATAACACAGGGGCAGGAATGGTTGTTGGATGTTCTGGGGTATAGATGTTTCAAAAGAAATAGGGAGGGAGGTAAAAGAGGTTGGGGATTGGCATTGCTAATCAGGGATGGTATCACAGCTGCAGAAAGGGAGGATGTGGAGGAGGGTTTCTCCACTGAGTCAATATGGGTGGAAGTCAGAAACAGGAAAGGAGCAGTCACTTTATTGGGAGTTTTCTATAGTCCCCCCCAATAGCAACAGAGACACTGAGGAACAGATTGGGAGGCAGATTTTGGAAAGGTGCAGAATAGGGTTGTTGTCATGGGTGACTTCAACTTCCCTAATATAGACTGAAACCTCTTAAGTGCAAATAGTTTGGATGGAGATTTTGTCAGGTGTGTCCAGGAAGGATTTCTGACTCAATATGTAGACAGGCCGACGAGAGGGGAGGCCATGTTGGATTTGGTGCTTGGCAACGAACCAGGTCAGGTGTCAGATCTCTCAGTGGGAGAGCATTTCGGTGATAGTGATCACAACTCCCTGACCTTTACTATAGCCATGGAGAGGGATAGGAGCAGACGGTATGGGAAAGTATTTAATTGGGGGAGGGGAAATTACAATGCTATTAGGCAAGAACTACGGAGCACCAATTGAGATCAGATGTTCTCACGGAAATGCATGACAGAAATGTGGAGGTTCTTTAGGGAGCAGTTGCTACAAGTACTGGATAGGTTTGTCCCACTGAGGCAAGGAAAGGATGGCAAGGTGAAGGAACCTTGGATTATAAGACATGTTGAACACCTCGTCAAGAGGAAGAAGGAAACTTACTTAAGGTTGAGGTAGCAAGGATTGGACAGGGCTCTAGACGTCTACAAGGTAGCCAGGAAGGAACTGAAGAATGGACTTAGGAGAGCTAGAAGGGGGTATGAGAAAACCTTGGCGGGTAGGATCAAGGTAAACCCCAAGGCTTTCTATACTTATGTGAGGAACAAGAGGATGGCCAGAGTGAGGGTAGGACCGATCAGGGACAGCGGAGGGAACTTGTGTGTGGAGTCAGAGGAGGTCTTTAATGAATACTTTGCTTCAGTATTTACCAGTGAGAGGGACCTTGACGTTTGTGAGGACAGCATGAAACAGGCAGATACGCTCGAACAGGTTGTTGTTAGGAAGGAGAATGTGCTGTAAATTTTAAAAAACATGAGGATAGATAAGTCCCCTGGGCCAGACGGGATATACCCAAGGTTACTATGGGAAGCGAGGGAAGAGATTGCTGCCTCTTTGGCAATGATCTTTGCGTCCTCACTGTCCACTGGAGATAGTGCCAGAAGATCGGAGGGTGGCAAATGTCATTCCCTTGTTCAAGAAAGGGAATAGGGATAATCCTGATTAATTATAGACCAGTGAGTCTTACTTCTGTGGTGGGCAAATTATTGGAGAGGATTCTGAGAGATAGTATTTATGATTATTTGGAAAAGCACAGTTTGATTAGAAATAGTCAGCATGGCTTTGAGAGGGGCAGGTCATGCCTCACAAGCCTTATTGAATTCTTTGAGGATGTGACAAAACACATTGATGAAGGCAGAGCAGTGGATGTGGTGTATATGGATTTTAGCAAGGCATTCGATAAGGTTTCACATGCTAGACTCATTCAGAAAGTAAGGAGGCATGGGATTCAGGGAAATTTGGCTGTCTGGACACAAAACTGGCTGTCCAATAGAATACAGAGAGTGGTAGTAGATGGAAAGTATTCAGCCTGGAGCTCGGTGATCAGTGGTGTGCCGCAGGGATCTGTTCTTTATCTTTATCGATGACTTGGATGAGGAAGTGGAAGGGTGGGTTAGTAAGTTTGCCGATGATACAAAGGTTGGTGGAGTTGTGGACAGCATGGAGGGCTGTTGTAGGTTGCAACGGGACATTGTTAGGATGCAGAGCTGGGCAAAGAAGTGGCAGATGGAATTCAACCCAGAAAAGTATGAAGTGATTCATTTTGGAAGGTCGAATTTGAATGCAGAATACAGGGTTAATGGCAGGATTCTCGGTGGTGTGGAGGAACAGAGGGATCTTGGGGTCCACATCCATAGATCCCTCAAAGTTGTGACCCAAGTTGGTAGGGTTGTAAAGAAGGCATATGGTATGTTGGCTTTCAGTGACAGGGGAATTGAGTTGAAGAGCCGTGAGGTTATGCTGCAGCTCTATAAAACTCTGGTTAGACCACAATTGGAATATTGTGTTCAGTTCTGGTCACCTCATTACAGGAAAGATGTGGAAGCTTTAGAGAGGGTGCAGAGGAGATTTACCAGGATGCTGCCTGGACTGGAGGGCAGATCTTATGAGGAAAGGTTGAGAGAGCTAGGGCTTTTCTCATTGGAGCAAAGAAGGACAAGAGGTGACTTGATAGAGGTTTACAAGATAATGAGAGGCATAGATAGAGTGGATAGCCAGAGACTTTTTCCCAGGGTGGAAATGGCGATTACGAGGGAGCATAATTTTAAGGTGATTGGAGGAAGGTATAGGGGAGATGTCAGAGGTAGGTTCTTCACACAGAGAGTGGTGGGCGTGTGGAATGCGCTGCCAGCAGTGGTAGTGGAATTAGATACTTCAGAGACTTTTAAGCGACTCTTGGATAGGCACATGGAGGATAGTAAAATGTAAGGTACGTGGGGTAGATTGATCTTAGTAGGATAATAGGTTGGCACAACATTGTGGGCCGAAGGGCCTGTACTGTGCTGTACTGTTCTATGTTCTATGAATTCCATTTGCCACTTCTTTGCCCAGCTCTGCATCCTGTTAACGTCCTGTTGCAAACTTCAACAGCCCTTAACACTGTCCACAATGCCACCAACCTTTGTGTCATCGGCAAACTTACTAACCTACCCTTCCACTTCCTCATCCAAGTCATTGATGAAGGTCACAAAGAGCAGAGGTCCCAGAACAGATCCCTACGGAACACCACTGGTCACCGAAAATTTGGTTAATACTTGGGAAAGTATGAATCCTTTTCAAATATTTTCCAAACCCTGTCCCAAGCCCTGCATTACTATGTCTGACTTGCTCCCTTTCAACATTGTGTTCAGATTCACATTATCTGGCACACAGATAGAACAGAAGGATTCGAGCAGTGGAGGTAGAACACGGAAGTTGATGAGATTTTGGATGACGTAGAGCATTTGGTCCATCCAAATGTAGGGCCGTTAGGGACAGCATAAAAAGCAAAAGAAAAAAAACATACAATGTGGTGAAGATTAGTGGGAAGCCAGAGGATTGGGAAGCCCTTAAAAACCAGCAGAGGATAACTAAAAAAGCAAAACGGGGAGAGTTGTGATATTGGACCACTGGAAATGAGGGTGGAAAAGTAGTAATGGGAACAAAAAATGGCAGAGGAACTGAACAGGTACTTTACATCAGATTCACAGTATACGACACCAGCAGCATACCAGAACTTCAAGAGAGTCAGGGGGCAGAGGTGCGTATAGTGGTTGTTACTGGGGAGAAGGTGCTGAGGAAGCTGAAAAGGTCT